CTCCTCTTCCATACAAAAAATGTTTCACCTTAGTTTCCAGGTCAATTATAAATCAATGACAATTGCATCTGTCATTCGTGATTTAAGGATCTGAAGCTGAACTGTGTGATGCTTTGCATAATAACAGAGATTTGACTGTTACATCATTCATATTATTTCCTCACAATGTTTAATAATGGTAAAAAAAAAAACGAAATAGTACTTTTACATATTATTTTCAGCATCAAATATTGCATGGTAGTCTAACCATCACGACTGACTCGATTCTAACCACCTGTCTCTCAATGTAAGCTGGAGGATGTGGGGGGGGGGGGTTATTAGATTGGGCCTCATGTGGAACCACACGTGTCACAGTGCGAGGTCACATGACGTCGCTCCACACGTGTCCCCTCCTCTCCAGCCTGCATGTCGGAGCGTCTCACTCTAACCTTCACTTTCTCTGCTCTGCCCTCAGAAAAACTCACCTAACCCAGAATGACGCTCTGTGGATAACAAAGTGTTACAGCTGCTCTTACTAACTGTTTTATTCACTTCCAGCATCTGTCATGCTCACCCCCTCCCCCCCGCTCCACCAGTCTAGTGATGCAGGTTTCAGACAGTGCGCTCCGATGGAAACAAAGTGCCTTAATGCATATTCATTTAATTCATCACAAGCTCTGACACTGATGTTTGAAATGTTAAATATTGATTTTGAAGTAAACAGTGTGACACTCTTGTCTTTGCTCGTGCAGACCTCCACCGAGGCCCATTCGACAGCCCCCTTGTGAAACCGCCTTTTAAATTCTCTGGATCTCGTTTTTTTTTATTTGGACGTGCACCAAACACACTCGTAAATATCAGTCCCTTAAACATGCCTGATTTCTTTCATCAAGATCCATGAATGACTCTCTGATAAATCAAGGAAAATGTTGAAAAACGCCTTATCTCACAACGTTAAAGAAAATTCTTGGATCTCCCCCCTGATCTGGATCCGCACCAAAATATAATGTTTTCTTCACGGACCACATCCAAGTTATGTGGGAATCTGTGAGGTAGTTTATCATGCTTACAAACCAACCAACCAACCAACAAACAAACTAACTAACCTTTTTGGCGGATGTAATTTATAATTACACAGAATAAAGTGCATATGCTTTTTCTGTTTTTCTGCTTGTGGGGCTGTTTAGATTGTTTGCACAGAGTAAAAATCACGAGATAGTCAGTTTAACAACAAAACACCAAGGCTAAATGTGTATGTACATAATTGATGACTGTGGCTTGTAAGTCCTTCCTTCCTTCCTGTTCAGTGGCTGTAAACTCCAACATCTCTACACAAACAAAACGCCCAGAATTCCCCTCCCACCATCCTATGTAAATGTTATTAAAAGTAATAGAGTAACAAATCCAATCAAGGCCTACAAGCTCATTATCCAGCGACCCAGCCGTCATTACTCAGGAGGACAGAGCAGATAATGAGGGGCCTCGAGGAGAACAACACCTCAGTCAGTGAGCCGCACCGCTCCCCTCCTCCTCCAAGCTGCCCTTAAAGGAGAGTTCCACCCAAAAAAATCTGTCTTTGGTTATCAAACGGTTGAGGAGCTCGTTAATGAGTTGATCGTTCAAGCGAGTCCGTCAGCCGATGTGACACTGCTGTTTAGAGAATGTAATTGTTTGCTGGTCCCCGTCCAAAACGTACAGGAAAATATTTAAGGAGACATATTTTGCTCATACTCACGTTCATCATTTTCAGGACAATGCTGGACTGAGTTTTCTGTGGAGGAGAGGAGCTCCCTTTACTTTGCAGATCTTAACATTAATATAAAAAGCTTTTTGAACAAACTGGGAAAAAGCATCACGTCTCCTCTAATTTGACAGTTTCTTGATCAGAGTTAAATTGTAGCAACGGAAACTGCTGTTGGTTGGAAACAGGAATCGAACATCAATCTCCAACGTCAAACACTTTGAGACCCATTCAGCAACCCTGACCTGCAAACATTGATATTTATAGCTGGTCACACAACTTGAGTCCCTGAAACTATAAACCTGTTCCAGCCACCGCTCGGCTCTGCAGGTGGTGAGAGATTGATGATCAGAAGACAGATGTGGGTGGAATATCATTTGAAAAAGCTAAACGTGGAAATATTTATCTTAAAGACATGCTGTTATTCAACGAGAACACGAACTGTGTTAATATATCATCGTGGAGTGTGCGATCAGTCGTCATACGGTCGCACGTAGCGCTAGAGCTGATGGTCGGCACATCTTTGGATTTGAGACACTTGAGTTCTTATCCTTTAATGGCTTTGAAGAACCACATGACGGCAAAAAACTCTTTTATTACACGGTGAGTGAGACCACCTTCACATCTGCACTGTCCTCGGAGCGTTCTGCTTGTTACAGATTTGAAAAATCCCCTTAACACAACGTAGGTTTTAGTCGACACAAGCACACTCGTATGCAGGAGGAAGGTTGGACAGGTTAGACTGGAAACACATGTCGCTGCAACACCTGCACTAATGACTGCTCACTCTGACTTCTTGGTTTGTTCTGTGTAGGGGAACCCAGTGCTCCCATACTAGAGGTCAAGGTCCAAAACAGGGGCAATTCTCTTACGGTCAACTGGATCAAGCAGGACGACGGCGGTTCACCCATTAAACATTACCTGGTCAGATACAAGGCTGTGAGTATCCCGGGCAAGGAGGTAACCTGGTTCCACTTTGCTGCTCTGCAATGTTTTTTAGTTTTTACCATTTTTTATAAAATACTCGTGGGTCATAAATGCAGCTGCCAACAACTCCAGAGCACATTAAGGCCCCTTTCATGGATTTCAGTTCCCTTTACAATTTGCACCTTCTAAAATATATACTTACTTCTACACAACCCTAGTTTTTACTTCTCCATAACTGTTCTTGCCCCCCCCCCCACCAACTTGGAATGAATAGTTTTCATCAGGGACATTGTCAACAGAGAGGATTAGTGTCGACGGACCAACCAGCGTGTCGTGATTATACACTGGCTTCTCACCAGTGAATACTGACAGCTGTGTCTGATTACACACAAAGACACAAACCTCATTTCTGTGGGTGAAAGCTTTGTCCCCAGTGAACCTCAGCATGAAAACAACGTGCAGCTTTAAACTACTTGTTTTTAGAATGTGTCGCACATTATGTTGTGTTACATTTCTAGAAATGATCTGCACCTCATGTGGATTTCAGCTCTGGAGTTGTTGGGGGTGTTGCAAAGAATATTGATATTGATCCTCTACTCTAATAAAATAGCAAACGCACAAATGTTCCTTCCCTTAAATGCTCGAGAAACTTTTCTTCCCTCACATAAAAAACAGTGAAGATGTTTTCTACTAATTTTCAACAATTTCGATTTTAGCAAAAGGAACCATACCTGACCCTCGGCCTGATATCTCAGATTATTGTACGTCATAGTCGCTCAAATTTGAATTAGTTTGGAAAACTGGCATCTTCTATAAACATTGCATTCCTTCTTATAGACAGATGCTTCAAAATGTCCTTTGGGCCAAGATAATCTCTGGTGAAACACGAGGGAACTTTTAAATTACGTTGTAAACCATGTAGTATATTAGGTTATCATTTTTTCTTTTATCTCTGAACAGCTTGAAAAATGGGGTCACTTTCAAAATGTTACCCTCACCGCTCTGCTTCTCTATGAATGACCCCAATTTCACTTGGTGACCAAGATTTAATATTTACCCCCGTGCGTCCCTTCCTCAGAAACAAGCGTCCGACTGGAAGCCAGAGATCCGCCTCCCTCATGGCAGCGATCATGTGTTGCTGAGCGGCCTGGACTGGAACACAGAGTACGAGGTTCACGTGGTGGCGGAAAACCAGCAGGGCAAGTCCGAGCCCGGCACCTACGCCTTCAGAACATCCACAGAGCCCACTACCGTCCCAGGTACAAACTCCCATAATCCCTCTCTGAGCATCCGCACACATCAGCCACAGTGAACAAAGGCTCCCACCGTGACCAGAGAGGCTCCGATGGTCGGATCCTTGTAGGTGCTTATTCACAGATTAGTAACTTCAGGGTCTGACATGAATCATCTGTCTCTGCTGTACACAGAAGTGCAGTGGGTAACTAAGAGAAAATACATGATGCACCTCCTACTGAAATGAAAATCAAAGACTATATAAAACCCTGAAATGTTAGATTTAGACAAATTATTTCCTGGGAAATGGTGACGATATTAAAAGAAGACAATCTTTCTCTCAATCTTAAAAATAATTGAAAAATGTAATTGTCTTCCCTGATCCATCACAAACTTTCTACCAAGTTTTATGCTCAAACACATTCAGAGGGAGGTGCACATGTGTTTATTGCAGATACAGTATCTGTGTCTCTCCTGTCCTACTGGAGAAATACATTTCTGTTTCTTTACAAGCCCAAAAGCCATTTGATCACATATAAACTTGTGCTCACTTCACAAAATTCCAGATACCAGTCTGCAGTAGCTCAACAAAAGCTATAGCGTCCTCATGAAGAGCAGAGGAATGGCTGCTGTGTTTTTAGATAAAACAGGTTCTGCTCTTCACTCAGCTGGTTTTCACTGATCCAGGTTCAGGGAGCAGTAAACTCAGAGCAGGAATCAGTCAGACCCGGAGCATTCTGACACCAAACACTACTCAGGTGGTCACGGTCCGTCTTCGTTCTGTTGCTGTGTGTGAGGTGCACGTTTTAACTTGGGCTGCCTCCCCATCGCACTGTTCCTGACCCACGGAAGAGGTGGAAGGATCTCTTTTTATCTTCTATCAAGATTTAGGTTTTTCTCTCTGTCTCATCCTGTTTTTCCTCAGTAACACTTTTTTATTAAGTTCCACTTTGTCACCATGAACTAGTTGCTTATCAGACATGCAGAGAGCATGGCGTCTTGGATGAAGCACTTATTAATGTTGTAATCTGCATAACCATATTTTACAACCACTA